AAGATCCTGCGCAAAAAAAGAGGCGCAAAGAGAAGACACCGGTGGTAGAAACTTAGACGCCGACGGTCCCCATTCCTGACGTAAATATTCCTTTGGCACCGAGGGAACGCGTGCTTATCCCAGGGGCAAAAATTATGGACCCTAATTTTCAAGTCCCGGACGTCTCTGACGCCGAGATTGGGGCGATGCTGAAACTTCCCCCTCGCTTCTCCCTTGTCTTCCAGGCTCTATATGAGTCTTTTCTCGAGCCGCACTGGGTTGCTGCCACTCAATCTTCTTTGGTCAATCGCCAATGAAAGCAGATCTCTTTCCAAATTCACGTAAGACTCGATCGAGCTGTCTTTTATTTTTCCTGGTTTCGCCGCTTTGTGTCCTTATTTTCTGACCTCCAATTTTTCAGGGCCTAATCCTCATCATTCTCAACCTTCTCGACCTAGTTAAGGTTTAGGAGCGGGATAAAGAGATGGACATCGTAAAAGCTGAGCTTAACTCTCTTCTCGATGATGCTAAGACTAAGTGTGCAAACGCCGCCGAGGAGAGAGATGTGGCCGTGGCCAAATTAAAGAGTTTGGAAGATAAACTGGCTAAGCTAACCACCTCGGTTGAGGACCTTACCAAGCGGACATCTGAGATGAAGTTGGTAGAAGCAACTGAGGCGGCGAAGAGACGTTTTGCTAAGGGGAAGAAAGAAGCCGAAGCTGAGGCTGCAGCAGTTTTCAATGCCAAACGTGCAGATATTATTGAGGAGTTCAAGGCTTCTCCGGAGCTCATCGACATTTGTACCAAGGATTTTCAATCCGCTGGTCAACAAATTGTCGATTTGATAAAACAAGAGCATCCTAAGTGGGACCTTAGCTTCTTTTATGATGCTCTTCCTCCTGCTGGCGACGACAACTCTTCCCCGCCTGGTGATGACTTGGCGGTTGGCGGCGAGGCCTGAAGATTTTCTTTTGCTTTTTCTTGATGTCTGTAACTAATATGACATTGGTTTGAACATCTTTTTATTTCATTTGTGTTTTATAAAAAGGCAGTAGATCGACCGTAGATTTCATACCTTGCTCATTGTTTCCCTTGCCCCTTGGGGTCGTTGTCTTAGAAAATTTCATAAAATTTTCTAAGTTTTTCTTCGCCTTTCTTCCTTGGAAGAGTCGGCGTTAGCTTTTACCCCTTGGGGTCGTCGCCTTAGAAAATTTCGTAAAATTTTCTGGGTTTTTCCTCGCCTCTCTTCCTTGGAAGAGTTGGCGTTAGCTTTTGCCCCTTGGGGTCATCGCCTTAGAAAATTTTGTAAAATTTTCTAAGTTTTTCCTCGCCTTTCTTCCTTGGAAGAGTCGGCGTTAGCTTTTACCCCTAAGGGTCGTCACCTTAGAAAATTTCGTAAAATTTTCTAAGTTTTTCTGCCAGTGATCCGTAGATCAAGAGTCAGCGTTAGCTTTTGCCCCTTGGGGTCGTCGCTTTAGAAAATTTCGTAAAATTTTCTAAGTTTTTCTGCCGGTGATCCGTAGATCAAGAGTCAGCGTTAGCTTTTACCTCTTGGGGTCGTCGCTTTAGAAAATTTCGTACCCTCATTGCCCCCCTTGTCTGTTTAATATACCTTGGTTTTTTAAGCAGACAAGTTTATTTGAGGGGTGAATTCTTCTTACTTTTGAACAATATTACTATAAATTCATGATTTATTTAAATTGTCAAAAATGTAACTAAGATGCGTTTAAAAAACTACATACATTATTGGTAGTACAGCTTTAATTGTTCTGCATTCCATGGATGCTGAACCTTTTTGCCGGAGAGGCTTTCCAAGATGTAGGTGCCGGGCCGCAATACTTCTCTTATTCGGTAGGGTCCTTCCCAAGTTGGGCCCAGAGGGCTAGTATTTTTGGGTTTTGTACTTTATGTTACCCTTTTTAATACTAGGTCTCCTAGGGCGAACCTTCGTTGTTTGACTTTTTTGTTGTAATATCGGGCTGCCCTCTGCTGGTAGGCGGCGAGGCGTAACTGGGAGTCGAGCAGTTTCTCTTCTAATAGGTCGAGTTCTCCATTCATGCCTTCCGTATTACCGTCGTCGTTGTAGACCACAGTTCTTAGAGTCGACATCTCAATTTCTATGGGCAGTACTGCCTCGACGCCATATGCCATGGAGAAGGGCGTTTCGCCCGTGGTGCTTCGGCTCGTCGTTCTGTATGCCCACAAGACCTTGGGGAGTTCCTCGGCCCATTTTCCCTTTAGATCGTCGAGCTTCTTCTTCAGGGTATACTTTAGTATTTTATTGACTGCTTCGACTTGCCCGTTAGATTGTGGGTGTATCGGTGCCGAGAAATCCTTTCGAATGCCCAAGCTGTCGCAGAATCTTCGTGTTGAGGCATTATCGAACTGTTTTCCATTGTCGGATACTATCGAGTGGGGGACCCCGAACCTGCACACAATGTTGTTCCACATGAAGTTGGTGCATGCTGCTTCCGTGGTTGTAGTCAGAGCCTTTGCCTCTGCCCACTTTGTGTAGTAATCTACTGTGACGATGGCAAATTTAAAGCCCCCGGGTGCGAGGTACAATGGCCCGATCAGGTCAACCCCCCATTTGGCGAAGGGCCATGGACTGAGAATGGAAGTTAAATTTTCTGGGGGTGCTCTAGGAATTGTGGCGTACCTTTGGCACTTATCGCAACGTCGGGCGTATTGGAAAGCGTCCTTTTTGAGCGTGGGCCAGTAGTATCCTTGCCTCAGAACCTTAAGAGCTAAAGATTGCCCCCCAGTATGATTACCGCATACTCCTTCCTGGATCTCTCGGAGGACCTTCTGGGCTTCATCTTCATCCATGCACCGCTGTAGAGGTGTTGAATAGCCTCATCGGTAAAGCAAACTGTCGTACAATAAGTATCTGGCGGCTCTATACCTGATCCGTCTGGCTTTGTCTTTATTGTTTGGTAGTTGTGCATCCATCAGGTATTGGACGAGTGGAGTCATCCAATTTTCACCTATTTGGACGATTAGTGCCTCAGCTACTTCCTCAATGGTCGGCCGCTCCAGTTCCTCGATGGGAACGACCCCTAGTGCGTCGGAATCTTTTGAAGATGCTAGCTTTAATAGAGCGTCGGCGTTTGCGTTTGCGTTTTCGGCTCGTGGTATTTGAAGTATCTCGTATTTTTTGAACTTGACGAGTTCTTCCTTCACCTTTCTCAAGTAGGCACCCATTCTCTCACCGCGCGCTTGGTATTCTTCTTTCACTTGCCCGACGACTAATTGAGAGTCGCTGAAGATGCTGAGCCTCTCAATCTTTAGGTGACTGGCCAATCGCAACCCTGCAATCAGCGCCTCATACTCCACCTTGTTGTTCGACGCCTTGAATTTAAATCGAACTGCCGAGGTAATATTGTGGCCTTCTGGGCTGATCAACAAGACGCCGGCTCCTAACCCATTATCGCTCGACGCTCCATCCACGTAGAGTTTCCATTCTGTACTCTCGACTTCTTCTGTCTCGGCGGGAGCCGGTCTATGGGAGAATTCGACCAGAAAATTGGCCAACGCTTGGCCCTTGATCGCTGTTCTCGGTACATACTTAATGTTGAACTGGCTTAGCTCTACCGACCATTTGAGAAGTCGACCAGAAGTTTCTGGCTTTTGTAGCGCTTGTCTCAACGGATGGTTTGTGAGAACCCATATTATGTGAGATTGGAAATCGTGCTGAAGCTTCCTTGAAGCTACCATTAAGGCGAGGGCCAGACGTTCCATTTCGGTATATCTTGACTCGGCATCGAGGAGTCGTTTGCTCACATAGTAGATTGGCAACTGTACCCTTTCTTCTTCCCTTATTAGTACGGAGCTTACGGCGTGTTGGGACACGGAGAGAAGAGGCTAAGCTCCTCGTCGAGGTTGGGTTTTGACAGGACCGGGGGCTTGCCTAAATGCTCATTCAATTTCTGGAAGGCCTCTTCACATTGTAGTGTCCACTCAAAATGCCTACTTCCTTTCAAAGCATCGAAGAAGGGGACACATTTGTCTGTTGCCTTTGATATAAACCTGTTTAAGGTGGCAACGCATCCTGTCAACCTCTGTACCTCTTTTGGTTTAGTTGGGGACCGCATATCCTGCAAGGCTTTAATCTTTTCAGGGTTGGCTTCTATCCCCCGGTTGCTGACCATGAAACCAAGGAACTTCCCTGACCCAACTCCAAAGGCACATTTTTGGGGATTTAGTTTCATGTGATATTTCCTTAATACACCAAACATTTCACCCAAGTGGTCGACGTGTTGGTTGGCCCTGACACTTTTCATAAGCATATCGTCAACGTAGACCTCCATTGATTTGCCGATCTGCCGAGTGAACATCTTATTCACGAGCCTTTGGTAGGTGGCCCCCGCATTCTTTAAGTCAAAGGGCATTACCATGTAGCAGTAGAGGAAGGTAGCAGTAGAGGCCCCTGTCAGTTATGAAGGATGTACGCTCCTCGTCGGCGGGATGCATGGGGATTTGGTTGTACCTGGAATAGGCATCCATAAAACTTAGTATTTCATGCCCTGCTGTGGCGTCGACCATCTTGTCTATTCGAGGGAGTGGAAAGCCGTCCTTCGGGCAGTCTTTGTTGAGATCGCTGAAGTCGACGCACGTCCTCCAGCTCCCATTAGGCTTGACCACCAAAACGGGGTTCGAGACCCAACGCGGGTAATGGGCCTCCCTAATGAACCCATTGTTGATCAACTTGTCGACCTCCTCTTTCAGCGCCTCATACCTCTCTGGGTTCATTGGTCGACGCTTCTGGCACTTGGGAGGATATGAGGGATCAACATTCAGAGAGTGACATATAACCTCGGCGTCGATCCCTTCCATGTCGGCATGGTTCCAGGCGAAGACGTCTAAGTTCTTTTTGAGGAAGTCTTCGACCTCGATCTTGAGTGAGGGGGCTAGGCCTGAGCCCATTTTCAGTACTTTGGTTGGCTCACCTTCATCAACTCGGATCTTCACCAATTGTTCGATGGGTTGCGACCACGTGACCTCCTCTTGAACCCTGGGATCTATGTCTTCAATAGTGTTTTGATAGACCATCCTGGCCTCTTGTCGCTTGGCTGGTCGTATCCACGGAGGGCATTAGAGTATGCAACCCTAGCTTCATACCGGTTGCTCTTCATCTCACCTACGCCGTTTGGAGTAGGGAACTTGACCTTCTGGTGGTAGACGGAGGTTATTGCCCTCATCGCCTGAAGGGTCGGTCTCCCGATTACAACATTGTACTGAGAGCCCCCCTTTATTACCACAAAGTTGGCCATCGTTGTGGTCTGTTGAGGTTTTTCTCCGGCGGTTATGGGCAACCGGATAGTCCCCTGAGGGATGACGGAGTCCCCAGTGAAACCGTATAATGGCCTAGAGGTTTTCTCCAACTGCTCCTTTCGGATTCCCATCTTTTCCAAGCAGTCGGAGTAAAGGAGGTCCACTGAGCTCCCATTGTCTACCAGGATTCGGCATACACTGTGGTTCCCAATCATGGCTTCCACTACTAATGCGTCGTTGTGGGGGAAGTGAACTCCGCTGGCGTCATCCTCATTAAACGCCACGTCGGCACTACTATACCGTGGGGTTTTTACAGCGGAGACACTCTAGAATCTTTCCTGGTAAACCCCTCTGGCCTCATAAGCGTAGTCCTTCTGGGATCTCTTTGAGTCTCCTCCTATATAGGGGCCGCCGAGGACAGTTCGTATGACACTGACAGGTTCTCGGTCTTCTGGACGCTGGTTCTCCTCTCGGCGTCGACCGTCATTTTGCCCACCGTGGCCATCGTTTCGAGGTCTCCGTTCAGCTTTGAACTCCTGTAGCCTTCCCTCGCGGATTACTCTCTCAATTTCATCCTTGAGGTCAGCGCAATCGTTGGTGTGGTGGCCGACATCACCGTGGAACCTGCAGAATTTCTTCTGATTCCTTGTGCTGGGATCTGTCCTCATCGGCTTTGGGCGGCGCAGCAGATTTCTGCGGCCGACCTAATTGAAGACCTCCTCGATGCCTACTGTCAGTTCGTGGTAGGAATTGTACCTTTGAAATAGCTGAGGCTTACAGTTCTCCTCTTGCCTTGGCTTCTTGGCTTCCAGAGCACTCGTCATCGCAGCTGGCTGCTTGTCTCCGTTTCCTCCACCTCGATGCTTCTTCCCATCCTGCTTTGCTGGCGTCGACCCTTGTTCGGTCCTGATAAGTGCATGAAAGTGCACCTAAATTGTTCATAATTGCTAAATAAATTGAGCTTTAATTAAATATTTTCGTGGAATTAATATTTTGTGAAAGTATTTTATTTTAATTTAATTTATTTTGTTTTGTAAGAAAATAAGACACTTGGGCCAAAACTATAAAGAGAAAGAGAAGCCCAATGTCCAAATGAGGCCCATTAACCTATTAGCAGCCGTCCGTTAGCCGAGCTGTCAGTCGAGCTACGCCGCGCAAGCCTCACCAAGCCACCATGTGTCGCTCTCTGCCGCGTCGCAGACCAATGGGCCCCAGCTGCACCTGCTCCCACACGCGTTTGGTGCGCACAGCCCTCCTCCCCGGGCGAGTTCTTCTCACGCGCGCGTCAGGCGTTTTTCCATTCAATTTCTGCGTGGGTCCCGCGTCCAGAAGCTCTCCAACCATCCTCTGCCACGTGTCCCGTGGGGCCTAGATGCTCCCTCACACACGCACGCTTGGCGTGCAACTCCTCTCCCCTGGGCGAGTCTCTTCCACTCGCGCGTCAAGTGTTCCTCCGCGTGGGCCCAGCTGTGCAGTAGCTTTTTTCTCTCCGCTAATCAGAGCTTGCCACGTGTCACGGCGAGCAACGTTTCCTCCTTCTCCGCACGCCACGTGTCCCACCCGTTGGGATTCTTCAGTCCGTTTTTGTTCTGTGAGTATCAACGGATAACCTCAGCATTCAATCTCCGCATAAAGCCTTGTAAATCCAATTTAATTTGATAAAAAACATCCTTCTATGTTTTTCTTGCTGAGTGTTTTTTTTTCACATGCCCAAAACTCTATAAATAGGGGCATGTCAAAGTGTTTAGGTTGTGGATTTTAAAGCCAAATTCTCACACATTTTTCTCTTGTTTTTTTGTTCTTATTCTCATACTTTCTTTTTAAAATTTTATGGGAATTATGTGCAAGCTAGGCTAGAGTATTTAGGTGAGGCTAGAGATGATCCTATATGTGTAGTGAACTTGTTTGGATTTTGACTCTCCAATGATTTGTAAGTTTTATACATATGAGTAAATAATTTTCTTTTATCCTATTTCTTCTTCTTATCAATATATTTTATTGTCAACTTTCATATAAATTTAGTCAAGCTCTTTTTATGTGATTGTTGCATTATATTATATATTGATAGGTATTGTTTTATGAGTAGTCTTTTACTGCAATATTACCAACGGTATATTGTCGCTCTTAGATTTCTCATAAGATAATTTTTCCTAATTCTAAATGTTAGAATTTTATTTACTCGAATACATTTTTAATTCATATGTTCTTCAAATATTTATTTTCAGATTAATTGTTTGGGATGTGAAACTTTCAATTGAGTCAATTTATGAATCAAAATCCAAATAGGTGAACAAAGCATATGGAGGATTCTCAAAGCCTTACCACTTTTTATTATTAAATTTTCTCCATTTTAAATTGTTCAAAAAATCATCAAAAACACTTATTCCTTTTCTTTGTTTGATTGCTTACTTTCCTAACGCTTTTTATTTGCTAGTCATTTCTTGTTCAATTTGACACCTCCTCGTGGGATCGACCGTTCAAATTGTACTACAATTGACCGCTTGTTTTTGTACACGTTTGGGCGTAATCAGGTCCCTTTGTTCTTGTTAGACCTGTGCTCGGGGTCGTTTGCATCTGCCTCCTCAGCGTTGATGTATCCTTGCGCTCGCGCCAGAAATTCCTTGTAGCTGGACGGGGGCTTTCGGTTCAGCTCTCTCTTGAAGGAGGTAATTTTCTTCATACTAGATAATGCCCCCATCAAGGCCTCTCTGTCAGTTATATCCATTGTGGCGGCGACAGCTTCCCCATACCTCGCAAGCCATTCTCTCAATGACTCATTCAGCTTTTGGTATATCGTCGTCAGGTTCTGCTTCGGGGGGACATATTTTTTAACCCCTATGAATTGGAGGGAAAATGCTTCCTTCAACTCATCCCAGCTTGCGATAGAATTTGGCCTCAGCGTCCGAAACCACCTTCGGGCAGAGTCCGTTAAATGGTTCCGGAAAGCTCGGCACATAATTTCCTCGGCATACCCGTGTAAGAGCATGTGCCCCGTGTACATTTCTAAATGATCGTCGGGATCCCCGCGACCATCATATGGTGGTATCGACGGCGACCTGTATTTGTCGGGGAGAGGTGGCGCCATTATCTCTTCGGTGAATGGGTAGTCATGTGTGTGGCTAGGTGTGATGTCGACGTTTACCACCTCAGCCACTCGCCCTATGTTCTTTTTTAGGCCTGCTACGTCCCCTGTGAGTTTTCGCTCCAGGCTGGCCATGCGCTTCATGATGGCGCGCGCCTCCTCTGTTGAGATGGCCGAGCCAGCTACTCTCGACGCCTCTGCCCTCTGACCGTTGGGTCTGCCTCTTGCCTGCCCACCCGCTTGCATTGACCCTGAGTCTCCCAGTGGGTTTCTTCCTGGGTTCTGGGGCAGTATTTTGGGGTTTCCCTGGCCTCTTGGTATCGGGTCCTCGGGAGCCCGGAGTCCGGAGGCCCTTAAACGGCCACTAGAGGAGTGGGAAGGTCGGGGCCTAGGCTAGCCCATTTGATTATGACTATCCCCGATTTCTTCTAAGATATGTGGGCGGTCACCAGGGTTGGGATTTTTAGCCATGGCAGGTCCCAGCGGCCTCGGGACGTCTTCTAAGGGTGGCATAGAGTTTCTTCCATCCAAGCGTTCGACCACGGTCATTAGTTCACGTACTAGATCGGTTAGAGTGGCTAGTTGGGCCTGCATCTGCACAGGATCCGGCCGCGGTATGTCTGGGGGCGGGACCTCATTTCTGGCCGGGGGTGGAACCTCCTCCACCTCATCATTCACCGGATGAGTGTCGGTCCCGTCCATCTGGATGCCTTGGTTGATGGCCTCAATCATTCTTCTCGGAGGCATGCTTGCTGACTACGTTGTTGTTGGGGGTCTAATGCGTTCGTCCCCAGTGGAGTCGCCAATTGTTGACGGTGAATTTTCGTCAACAAAAACAAGCCGGGTTACCTCCAGGTTTCCCGCCAGGTTACCGGCTTTAATTGAAATTATATGTAAAAGTTTTGTGTTGAAGGTGTTTGTGGTATTTTTTTGTGTAGTGAGCAATATAAGAAAAAATACTTAAAATAGAAAAACGCACAGAGTTTATAGTGGTTCACTCTTATAAAATGAAGAGCTACATCCACTGTGGTTGTTTATTCCTTTTGAGATTGTTACAATTTACAAATTGCTCTCTCGTTCCTTTTTTCTCAAGAAAGATCAACCTTTTATCCGTGTGAGGTTTCTCTCCTTTTATAGCCGAGCTTCCTTCACTGGAGGGGTTTTCTCTTGTAGGCTGAACATGCACTCAAGTGGTCTGCCTTTCTAGGCCCAGCCCGTAGCCCACTAATCACTTTTTGCGCACTGTTCACTCAGCCGATTAGTCTCCCATTACGGCTCTGTGCACAGCTGTAACCCTTTTCTGTCCCCTGTAGGGGCAGTTTAAGGGGTACATCCCTTACGCAGATTGCCACGTCAGGTTTTCCCCCAAGGAGCATTTCCCTCGTCGCTAGTGTCGTTTACCCCAATTGTTCTTCTGGGCGGTAGATTTCTATGCTGTAAGGTCGACGGTACGACCTGTCGACGTCAGATGAAATCGACACCCCAAGTCGGGCTTCTTACTCGGGCTCCCCTCGACGGGAGGGAAAGGGGTCCCAGACGTCGAGGGTTGTTGCTTTGCGAGGAGAGGTTGAGGCCACGTGTCATGTTGTCCTCCCTCCACGTGTTCTCCATATTTTCTCCCATAACACCTACAAAGGAAAACATTTTGAGTTAAATCAACTTTGTTGATAACAAGTTTAACAACATTGACAACCATTCCTGTCAATCTTAAACATAATACAAAATTAGAATTTGTTCGATAACCAAACAAAAAGGAGAAAAAAAAAACCTTGTTTTAATGATAGTGTGCCAAATTATATTGTAATCTCCTTTAAAACTCAAGACAAAGACATTAAGGGTTTGTTCTTTTGAGTGAAAAACTCAAAAAAGATAATTCGAGTTATAATTTTATTCGAGTTCATGTTTTTTTAAGTTTAAATTCGAATTTAAAATTGAGTTCAAACTCGAGTTTAGGACTAAAACTCGAGTTCAAGTTTCCCCTTCAACTCGAGTTCAGAAACGCGAATTCAAATTAATGAACATTATTTTTTCTATTCTTAAAAATGCTATAACTTTTTCGTTTTAATTCTGATTAAGATGATTTTTTTTTCTATGCGTTGACAACGAAAAGACGAATAAAACCCGACCCATATACCATCTTAAAATTTCTCATCAGCATTGAGTTTTTATTTAAATACTATCTAAATATAAATTCAAGTTTTGACTTACTCAAACACAAACTCAAAAAGATTCTTATCTCAAACCATAACTCAAATGTACACAACCAAACACAAACTCAAGTTACAAGTTCAACTCAAGTTATAACTCAAATTCAACTCAAAAATTATACTCAAGTTAAACTCCAAAAGAACAATCAGAAAATTACAGGTAAGATTCCCATGTTGAGTAGAACGTGAGATTAAAAAAAAAATAAAAAAAAAAAAAAAAAAAAAAAAAAAACAACATCACTCGAAATTATTTCATATCCTAGAGTATCTTTTTGCATCATGATTATTATTATATTATATATGACTAATGAGCATGGTTGTTATAGCATTAAAGAGTGCCTCATACTATTACACGAGGAAAATTGAGTACTCCTTTTCTTATAATTTTTTTTTCGGCATTCTTTACTGTGAAATCCAAAAAAAAAAAAACTCAATCAGTGGAACCCTCACTTTTAACCGTTAAATTAATTTTTCATGGGTCAGATTTACAACATGAACAATTTTATATAACAAACTGTAAAAAAATTATAACATGAACAATTTTAGATAATGAATTGTAAATTTTTAATATAGACCTGAACAAATTTAACTGTTAAAAAATTAATTCAACGTTTAAAAGTGAGCGTTCCACCGGTGGATTTTTTTTAGAGGTTCCACCGTAGAAGTTTTCTTTTTTGCCGGTGAACTTTTTAGAGTTTGACAACTTTGGATCGTGAATTTTTATTTTAACAAATAAAACTCTAAATTTAAAAATATGTTGCAACGATAACCCAATAACTAACAATCATCAATTAGTGAACAGGATCGATGCCCCACCATTTTTACAAAAAATACTCGTGATTTTTTTTGGCTTTTTTTTTTTTTTTTTTTTGTTAATTCGATTGGCAAGTTGGACATTAAACTTTAATTTCACCAAGACCCTAATCGGCGTCAATTAGTTGACATCCGTTAGCGACTGCATCATCAATGTCAAATTTTAGAGTCTTGAATACCAAGAAATAAAAGTGTAAGGTCCAACTTGAAAAAGAAATGACAAAAAATTCAAGTCGTGCCTGTGCAAATTACCCTTTTCTTCACATACTGTTGATCAGCTATGATATTATGGGTACTCTCTTTACCCGTTTGTCCAAATACTATTAAAGGCTGTTTGGAAATCTGAGAGCTAGAAACACAAGAACGAAAGAAAGAGATGTCTTTGTTTGTGTTCATTCTCATCCTCATCATAGGGAAAAAGATGACATCCAACAAAACGGCCACAAGTTATCCAGAGAGACCAAAATCTTGATCTCTGCTTTATTTTTGATCAACTGCAAGAATTCATGCCTGGTGAAAATGAAATGATCGACTTTGAACCGAATAAATCAAGATTCAAGCAGGAGGGCATCAATGTTTCGCTTTCCTTCAGGGCCCTTTGTATACCAGGATGAGACATAATCGCCATAAACGACTTCCCGGAACCGAGGAGGAACGAACTCGCTGATGAGTTGAGAAGCGGGGGATATCTTGACTGTCTTGGCCGGATCATGAAATGTAGCAACCGAAAGGCGTGCCCGTGAGGAATTAGTGATGGCCCGATGTTCAGCACTTTTGTACTTTCCATTGCTTATAATCTGCAGGCCAGGCAAGAAATATCTTGACTCTTCACAGGAAGTAAAGATAGCATTAATATCACACACTTGATTTACTCCAACATGTGTGTAAAGACATGACTTTTGCACAGTGACTTGTAACATTTTGTTTTAAAAATGTGTATATATGTGTGTGTGTGCGCGTGTATATATATCAGTATATATATATATATATATATATATATATATATATATATATATCCTACACTGAGAGACCACCTTTTACACCGAGCGATTCATTCGTGTAAACTGAAAGAATATCATTTTGCCAATTTCACTTTCTAAAGTTGTGTCATTTTTTGGCAAACTTCCCTACATTTAGAACACAAGCACAACAAACATACATATGACCAAAAACCTATGAAGATTAGAATTGATGTATTTTTGTATGTGGAAAACTGTAGAAAAAGATATAAAACAAACAAAAACATTTTACATTAGATTAAAAAGCATGATAAAATTTAGATAATCTAAACTCAAAGCAGGTTATTTCATATAACCTGGATTAAAAACAAAAGAAATATCTACGAAGATGCTACAATGTTAATAAGAAGAATATGGTTGTTTAATACTACAACTCAAATGTAATTAAAAAAAAAAAAAAGTTTCTTTCTATATTCAGTAGGGCTGTTCATAAACCCGAACAACCCGCAAACCCAACTCCCACCGCCCCAACCCAAGCCAAAAAAAGTAACCCGCAACATTATTTTTAAATTTGCAGCTCATTATACCTCTGGCCCGAAGTGTTTGGGGCGGATTGCGGGTTGGGCCCATAACAACCCGCAATCCCCAACCCAACCCGCACAACATACTCCCAAGCTTTAGGCCCAAGCCGAACTGCCCAAGTTCTACCATAGGCTCGCTAACATTAGGGTTCACAATCTCATTCTCGGTCTCCTCTCCCGCGAACCCCTTCTTCTTGTCTCTTCCTTTTCAGTTTTTCCTCTTCTTCCCCTCCCGTGAACCCCCTCATAATTCTCTCCTCATTGCTCAGTCATCTCGGCCGCCGTCTTGCCCACTTTCTCCGGTGCTCTCTCGCCGGACTGATAAGGATGGTTGCTATTTCTATTTAATGATGAAGTTTGAATATTATATTGAACTTTAAGTCTTTGATTTTTTAAATATTGAAACCGACCACCCAACCCACCTCGTACCGCTCCAACTCAACCCGAACATCGTTGAGTTGTGAAATTTTTCTCACATCGTTAGGGCCAAATATGTACAACCCGCACCCTTTGGGGCGGGAAAAAAAAAATCTTACCCCACACCAACCCAACCCATGAACAGCCCTAATATTCAGAATGAAAAAGTTTCTTTCTATATTCAGAATGACAAGAGAGATTACCTCAGTTTGGTCTGCCAAAAGGACGACAATGGCGTCTTCATCAAAAGAATTAACACCGACCCACTCTCCGTCCTTGAGAACCTCGAGGCCACCGACGTCATCCTGGACCAGCAACGTGATCGAGCCCATATCGGAATGGGCCTGCAGGCCCAACGTCAGCTCCGGCTGAGGACACGGCGGGTAATAGCTGATCGTGATATTCTGATAAAACTCCCCAACTTTCTCCTCCATACACCTCGTCGGAAGCCCCAGGCTCTCCGACAACAGCCCCAGCAGCTCCCTCGCCAGCGCCGACGCGCGATCGGCGTACTCCGCCACCACGCGCCGGTATTCCTCCGGGAAGTGGGGCCAGCGCGTGGGGTCGCGGCGGGATAAAGGGAGCGTGTGGTGGTCGAAGTAGTCCCTCCAGTCCAAAACGGTGTCGTCCCGCTCCAGCATCCAGCTGCCGTACCCCTCCGAGGCCGAGGCGGTTGGGTCGCACGCGTACCTGAGCTTGTCGGAGGCGGGGCAGTCGTTGAAGAAGGTGAGACCCACGCGCTTTATGGCGCGTAGGAGGTCGGTGGGGATGCCGTGGCCGGTGACGTGGAAGGCGCCCCAGTCGAGGCAGGCCCGGCCGATTGATTCCCGGACGGAGAATCTTCGGGTCGGATCAAATCCGGATAGGTCGACTGTTGGGATAGTTTTGGGCGGCGAGTGTGAGGGAGAGGAGTTGTTGGGGCGGTGGTGAGGAGGTTGGATGTATTGGGGAGGGACTTGGGTGAGGCCAGATTGGGCTAGGGATTGGATTCTGATGGGCTCGCCGGCGACTTCCATCGTTGATCTGAATCGGCAGCCGGTGGCGGTGGCGATGGCTACGATGTTTAGCTCGAGGAAGTCGATGTAGCCAAGGGATGGCTGTATTGCTATTTGCTAGTGTGTAAGCGTAACCAAGAGAAACAAACATTTTCTAATTTTCTATTTTCTTTCTTTTCGATCAAATGATAAAAGTTTAAGGGTTGGTTTAAGATGATAATTTATGATTTTATTATAATATTTTTTTCTCAACCATGATAACATTTGTTTTAAAAATTGTGGTTTAAGATCATAATTTTGCTATAATATTTTTCTCTCATAAAAAAATTAAAATTTATTATAAACTATAACCAAATGTCACCAAAGATTCTCTCCTCCTTAACAAACAAAAAAAAATCATCAACAACAATTTTCCTGAGCTTCATATTGTGATTACAAAAAAGAGCAATAACGCATCAGGGATACTAATCTAATTTATTTGTATATGGCATTAAATGTTATTTTCCAGTTGATTTTAACAATTTTTAACGACGTAAATCAATATATATATATATATATATATTCTTTTTTTAAAAAGAGATTTCCATATCTACATATCAAGTATAATTCATAATTTAACAATCTACAGTCTATAATATATAACATAGATAAAAGAACCAAACTCTTTTTCCATCCCTCTGTCTTTATTTACCACTTGTCAACTCTCAGTTTTTTTATTGCTAACTAGGTACAAATAAATGTATTTAATAATTATTTCACATAGCAATATGAGCCGATTTTTGGAGTTTCAAAAAAATTTAAAAACGTATTCTGCTTATAAAACAATTTTCTGAAATTGATTTCCCAACACGCAACGAGTAAATTCTCAAAATAAGTTCTAAGTCCTTGAAGCTGCACACGCTTTGCCCTTACTGACCCTGCTAATCAAATTCTTCATGGGGTCCCAAATCTAATTTGAGGCATCTTTGCTGAGAATGGTTTACAATATAGAGCGAATCAATAATAGCTTGGAATAGATAATTCTTTACTTTAACATCCTGCAACCACTCATCTTTCTATCTTTGTTCTCTGCACATCTCCTTAAGAAGTTCTCCATCAATGTAAGTGTTAACATGCTCCAATTAATAATTCTAAAAAAAAAAAATGCCCCAATTAATGATCATAGTGACCATCAAAAGAGAGGTTAATTTTTTTAAAATTTTTTTATTTTAAAAAAAGTGAATAGGAAGAAAGCTACAGCTATTAAACTCTATTATGTCTCACGTCAACCACCTTTTTTTTTTTTTTTTTGCAGTGACAGTCTCTTACTTTCATCACCCGAGGGATTCTCACTTTTCGTTCCAGTGGCTCTGATACGACTGTTAGAGAGTCAAGAAGTAACTGACACTAAAGAGTAATGCAAGAGCTGAAAAGAAATTACTGTATCAGTTGTTTCTTATTTCATTAAGCAATAACCTTTAAATAGGCAATACACGAACGACAATAACCAAAGAAATAATGACAGACCAACAAACTCTTGACCACTAAACCACTAATCAAGAAAATGAAAAACTTACTCCAATATATTAGGCAAATTGCCAAATACAAGCACGTACTTCAATAATTAAAACAAACCCGGTTGACCCCTAAATACTAGGATAACATTACCAAATCGACTAATCCAGGAGAGAAAACATAGTCTAATAGATAATTTATTTATAACCCCATTATAAAGACAATTTGGTTTATCAGTTTTAGAGTGAATCAAAAACCACTAGTTCAGAAAGGATTTCAAGAAGCAGGTTACTTTTCACCATGCAGGCTGCAGCTATTGCAAGAAAAGAGAAATTGATCTTGTTTTAATTGCATAGACCAGAGAGGCCTACACCAATTCCAGCAAAAACAGAACAGAACCACAAAATGAAGTTAGAATCTCGCTCGAGAGGGAAAAAAAATACAATATCGCACGGCATTATTATTTTGGGTTCAAAACATAAAATATCGACTGCTATGCATGATTATCGACATCACCACCCTCGTTGGTCTTCCTTGCAGCTGCTCTCAGTTTCCGCTGCTCCTCCTTGTAAATACGGTTTCTTCGTAGGAACTGCAATACACATCAGGAGAAAACATAAAGAATCTTTGTAGAAAATCAAGATAAAGAACGTCAACAGTGAAACCAAGATTTAGATTTCACAATATTGCACATTCACATGCTTGTTTCAACTACACTGAAAAACTATTAATTGTTCAACGTCTTAACTATGATACGATGTCAAAGAAAACAAAAAAGAAAGAACCTCCCAGTAAAATGCTCTCTTGACCGACCAGCCACAGCTTATTACATTTTAGGGTGACACTGACATTGAAATATAACTTTTTTCCATTAGATTTGATGATCGTATTGTTCTCTTCAGGAAATCCATATAAAACTTCAATCAATGAAAAGAGTATGGAATTGATACAGAAAATAACAATGACAACGCAGTCGGTGTTTTGCGATATTAAAGCCTCATTAGTTGAGTAAGCAAAACTTTCTTGAATGCTGACAATACTAATTGTTTGAAACCGAATTATGACTTCCTAACTGAATGATGATTATGCTATTGTTTTACAAAAAGATAACCTTGTAAAAGATGTATACAAATCATTGAAAGCAACCTTTCCATATCATGAACCACATTGTACTACATTGGATGAAAACTCAAATGATAATTTAATCTAGACCAATAATATATCCTAACAGCTATGATGCTCGTAATTGGCTACATAGTGTGCACAAAAGTAACTGAAATGCCTCCTATGTTTGTATCGTATCACCCCACAGCTCACTCATGATACACACTGGTCTTGTACCTCGAGACAAGATTATTCTGTCTTTTGAAATAGAACTAAAGAAGGTGATTCTTTATCCCGAACTTGCTAGAAAAAGCCTTGTGATATTTGAATTTATCAGCATAAGAAGGGGTTGTAAAGGGTACAGTAGCCTCTTACAAGCCAAAATTTCAGAACGAGATTCATGGGTGAAGACTGAACAAACCCAAAAAAAGTTTACGCTTCTTCATGAATCCTGTTGACAGTTGAATTTCGTCAACAAGATTACGCCGGATTACCTCTCGGTGATCCGTTGGTTTACGGGCAAAAATTTGTTATATACTTGGATTTATGCAACTAACTGTGTTTGTTTTTTAGGTATATTATAAGAGGTATTGATTTGGTGCTAGAACGGAAGTAAAGAGGTACGTGAATTTATAGTGGTTCACTCTATAAAAGGGAGTTACATCTACTGCTAATTGTATTTTTATAGCCCACGGATTACATATGGATCCCTTTTGGACGGACTGTCACAAGAGGTTTAATGATAGTTTCTCTCAAGTAACCTATTATCCTACATGCCTAGACCGCTTCTCAGTACCTTTTGGACTGTTCACTCATCCACTTTGTCCACTATTGCGGCTCTGTAGATCCTCTGTGGCTTTCATTGGTCCATTCCTGGCAGTTCATGGGCAAGTAATCATTTCCTGTGCTACTAACCTCCTCCAAACCCTTACGCAACCTAAGGATTTCCCCTTGTCCCCTCAAAGGCCTTTCTTGGGACGTGGACCCATATTCATGTGGTCTGCCCTCTGCGCCTATACTATACTTCATAGGGCGCGACCTCTGCCTCAGTCGACCCTCTCATGGCGCCGCTTCTGCTGTGAACACATTACGCAAGCCTCGACTGTATGCAGTGTCGACGGTTGCATGAATCGTAACATACGGTCGGCCTTTTCATTAGTTAACGGAGCATGGTCATTATCCGACGTGTCAACACATATTTTCCCACACAACAGCTACCCCCCAAGTCGAGGTTTTTCTTTGAACTGCCTCGAGCTAGGCTGGGATTTGCTCTGGCCTTTCCGTTTGCTTCGGGTGTGGGAGCCTAACTCCGAGCCTCCCTTATAATGATGGCTCTGGCTTCGAAACCCCTCGAGAAGTGCAAACGTCGCGTCGGTTCGATCGCCATGCTGACGTGGTCTTTCATTTTAAACGGGCGAATCTGGGCCGTTGGATCGTGTCTCTTCAGCTTCCCACCCTCTCCCCAACCGTCGAATCGAGTCCTTCCGTTTCAGCCATTGGATGCTGTCGAAGTATAGATATTAGAATAGGAGAATTAGTTGAAATCCCTTAAATTGAGGGATTTAGTTAGTCAACTTTCCTGATTCAGATTCCTGATTTTTCTTTATTTAGTTTCCCTTCTTTTCTCTTGTAATCTCCTATATATTACCGTGTATTATCAAATGTAAAATATACAGAATAATTCAAATCATTATTCATGTCATGGTATCAGAGCCTTAAGACTTTTTTCTGGGAATTTCCTCTTTTCCTCGAGAGGCCTTTATTGCCATTTCTTCCGGCGTGCCTTTATTGCCGCCGGCCATTCTACTTCCGACAACCTTCATTGTTGCCTTTTTTTTTTTTTTTTCTAAAGTGTATTTCCTGGTTTCGTTACTAGGTTTCTGTTTCTAGGGTTTTGTTGTCTCAGACCCAAAAAGAATTGCCGCCTTCTCTGCTAGGGTTTGCTAAAAGTGCACCAACACCTCTCCATCATCTGAGGATGATTCTGCAGTCCAAAAATCTGGAGACCTGCAGAATATCAGGATGTCATACCGACTTAACGGAAAGAATTTTCTCAAATGGTCACAAGTTGTCCGCACTTATCTCAAGGGCAAGAGAAAACTTAGTCACTTGCTTGGAACCGGACTAGCAAAGACAGACCCGGGATTTGCAACATGGGATGAGGAGGATTCAATGATTATGTCTTGGCTGTGAGACTCTATGGAACCAACCATTAGTGACACTTGTATGTTTTTGAGCAGTGCAAAAGGGATATGGGATTTTATCCATCGCACATACTCGAAGGTTTGTGATGCGGCACCGATTATGAGATCAAGGTCATGACCGGTGCTATGAAGCACGGGGACAAGACTATTACAGAGTATGCTAACATCTTGCAAACTCTATGGCAGGAACTTGATCATTACCGTGTGTTTGAGATGAAAAGCTCGGATGACGCTGCAATTCTCAAGAAATTTATCGAAGGAGACAGGGTGTATGATTTTTTGGCTAGATTGAACCCTGAATTTGATCTGGTTAGAGTGCAGATTATTGGCAAGGAGGAAACACCCTCACTGGAAGAAACAATCTTCCTAATTCGGGCATAGGAAAGTAGGAGGAACTTGATGCTTGAAAAACAGCCCACCACGGAAGGATCTGCTTTCATGACAAAAACGGAGCACCAGGAGAAGGGAAAGAACGAATTACCAAGGAATTCTGGAAAGGACAATCAGTGGAAGGAAAACAAAAACAATCTCTGGTGCACTCACTGCAAGAAACCGAGGCATACAAGAGAGAACTGTTAGAAATAATGGGAAACCACCAAGTCGAGAGTGGGGAAACCGTGGGGGGCAGCAGAGCCGAGAGTGGGGAAATAGGTGGGGGCAACAGAGACCTCAAGCACACATGGCAGAGCAGCCCAAACCTGAGGAAAATTCGGCAACTGGAGGATTCAACAGTGAAGAAATTGAGAAGCTGAAAAATCTCTCGGGATCTCTTAAAAACCCTTCGGGAGCTTGCTCTTTGGCTCTTTCAGGTAAACCATCATTTACTTTTTGTATGAATGCCTCAGAAAAGTTTTTTGCCAACTCATGGATAATAGACTCCGGTGCCACAGATCATATGACCCCTACATCCCATTTTTCCACACATATACCCCATGTCCAAGTAACCGGAAAATTGCAGTGGCCAATGGTTCTTTAGCTACTGTTGCAGGGTCCGGAGATATACATATCACACCTATCCTTGTCCTTAATAATGTCCTCCATGTACCAAAACTATCGGCCAGCCTTGCTTCCATTCAAAAGCTTACCTATGATCTTAAATGTTGTGCTACTTTTTTTCCTTTTTATTGTGTGTTTCAGGAACAGGGCTCGAGGAGGAGGATTGGACTTGCTAAGGAAATAAGCGGCCTTTACTACCTTCAATCATCTCAGTAGGAACAATTTATCTTTGTCTTTTCTTAGTTCATCGAATAAAGATACCATTTGGTTGTATCATTTGCGTCTAGGTCATCTGTCTTTTAGGGTTTTAAAAGTCATGTTTTCTCATTTGTTCCAAGGATTAGATATTTCTGAGTTTCATTGTGATATTTGTGAATTGGCCAAACATCCTCGTGTATATTTTCCTATTAGCAAAAAAGAAGCTCTCTTCCTTTTCATTTAATTCATAGTGACATCTAGGGACCTTCTACTATACCTAATATTTCTGGGGCTCGTTGGTTTGTATCCTTAATTGATGATTGCACTCGGGTTACATGGCTCTTTCTCCTTAAACAAAAATCTAAGGTTGGCACTATTATACCTAATTTCCACTCAATGATTCAAAACTAATTTGAGGTTAAAATAAAAAGCTTTAAGACAGACAATGCTAGGGACTACTTCAACTAGATTTTATCACCCTACTTTCAATCACAGGGCATTATCCATGATTCATCATGTGTTAACACACCTCAACAAAATGGAGTGGCTGAAAGGAAAAATGGGCATTTACTGAACACCACCCGAGCTTTACTGTTTCAAGGAAATGTTCCTAAGTCCTATTGGGGGGAAGCTGTCTTTACTGCCACACACATGATAAACAGACTTCCCTCACGTGTTTTGGAAAACAAAAGTCCCATTGAAATCCTTAATAGCTTCTACCCTCACTTCAGAACATCAAATGGCCTCATACCTAAGGTTTTTGGGTGCACTGCCTTTGTTCATGTCACAACCAACATAGAAGCAAACTAGACCCTCGAGCCATCAAGTGTCTTCCTTAGTTACTCATCCACTCAAAAAGGGTACAAATGCTACAACCCCTCATCCAGAAAATTTTACATTTCTGCAGATGTCACTTTCACATAAAATAAACCATTTTTCTCCAAGTCCTCTCTTCAGGGGGAGAATTCAATGATCGAAGATAGTCCTTGGGAGACCTTTGAACCACTCAAAACCCTTGACCTCTTGTGTGTTCCAACCAGTAGCGTTGAATCCAAGTCCTTGGAGCCAGTCACATCGGAGTCACCTAATT